TTTTAGGCTCATTTAGGTGTTACTTAACTCATTTCCTTATTCACCATTTTGATAGTGTATATCATGTGGTATGTCCTTATTGGGTGCTAGGGAAATAAACAATACAATTATAGTCCTTCACTAAGTAGGGTCATGATATTGGAAAGATAGTAGTATAGGTCAAGACCTTTATGAACATAGGATGGGTCCTAAACCTGGGATAGGAGAGGGCCATGGATTAACTTTTCAAAGTTACCTACCTTTGCAAAGTCATAGAAGTATGAAAGACACTACTAGCTTCAAGAAACTAAATATTTAGGTATGGCTAGATGACAATGTGTGTGTGAAAGAGATATGAAAAGAGTCTGTATCACTCAGATGTTTTAAATAGGATTATAGAATTGCCACCTTTGTCCGATACTCTGGTAGAAGAATAGAGTAGATCAGAACAACATTTCTCAAAGTGTAGATTCAGACCTTCAGTGTCATCATCTCCTGGGAATTTATTAGGACGCAAATCCTCAGGCCATTTCCAACACTTACTGAGTCAGAAACAGAGGTGGGGTCCAGTAATCTGTATTTAAGTTCTCCAGACCTGGGTGTAGTGGTTCCAGCCTGTAATCCCAGCAATTTGAGAAGCTAAAGTAGGAGGATTGCAAATTCAAGGCCATCCTCAGCAACTTAACATGACCCTATCTAAAAAAAAAAAAAAAAAAAAGGACTGGGGATGTAGATTAGTGATGAAGTGCCCCTGGGTTCAATCCCCGCACCAAGAAAAGAAAAGGAAAAAAAAAAAAACAAAAGAACAACTACAACAAAAAAAACAACAATGCTCTCCAGGCGATGCTAATGCATATTAAAATTTGAGCACCATTGAATTAGAACAAGGGTGAGACTACAGAGTGGAAGACCTGAAAGGAATTTACAATATACCTGGTGAGAAAAGATAAGGTTATGAAAAAAAGTTGGGGCCATGGTATAGGAAAGGCACAGATAGATTCAAATGAGTATTTCAAGCGGCTAGATTAATCAGCATGGAATAAATTATCACTTGTGTGGGGGGTGATATTTGGTAGGGAAAGTAACAGTGATCTGCAGCTTAAAAATGGGAATGAGGTAGTGGGAGGAATCGCCCAAGAGAAATGCAGTAACCAGCCACCCAAGTCATCACATTGTCTCTTGCTCTTGAAACCAAAGTTTTGAGATGAAACTTGATTCTCTGCTTCTGCTGGCAGGTGAGATTGGAGTTTCCCCCAGCTTCAGCTGGTAGGAGGGGTTTGAATAAGATTGCAGGTCTCAGCTGCCCAGAAGTTTTGCAGGTGTTAATGGTGAGCCATGTCCTCCAGTGCTGCAGAGACTCAAGCAGCTCACCATCGATTTCTTCTTCCCTGTTCCTGACTTAAATTTGAAGAATGAGATACATATACCAGGATGAGTGAGTTGTGAGAGTAGGATTTACTGAAGAAACAGAAAGAGAACTCTTGCAGTCCAAGAGGGGACGGGATAGCACATTTTATTCCTTTGAGTGTGTTAGTCTAGAGGTTTATATAACACTTGGAGTCACTGCTATTGGTCCAAAATTATGCTAATTAGGGTTTGGAAAAGTACTAAGTTCTTGGTCAACTCTTGAGTCCCAACTCAAGACTCAGGTCTGCCCCACTTTCATTTTCTCCCAGCAGGTCAGAAAACAGGAGGTTGAGGTTGGTAGATCCTCTGTGCTTGCAGGTTCTGGGCTGCAGTGCTATGTGGAGCAGGCTCTTGCAGCAGGCATCCGTAAAGTGCCCAGGCCTGGCTACTGAAGGGTAACAGGTCAGCACACCTTGGCACGCAATGCCTCACAACCTGTGTGCCTGCATGGTGGGCTCCACATGGTTTAAGGCCATGCTTGCCCCTGCACTCCAACCTACCCAGGTCCACTCTGCTGCTCCCACTCTCCATTGCAGCTTCTCAGCAGGGACCAGTAGGCTGGCTGCACAGCTTGGCAGCCCAGCAGCCATGCCACTCTGACTCTACATCAATGCTGGCTATTATGTAAGTAGATTCCTGCCTAAGAAAGCTGTCCATAAATGATCTCCCTGTCTCATTGCACAAGCCAATGGAAACCCTAAGCTTCAGAATCACACACACACATGCATAACTTCTAGGTACAGGCTCTGCCTCTAAACAGTTATTCACCATTGCTGTGTCTGTCATTCATTTGCCAATTCAGCAGTCATTTCTCCCTTTCCTATACCAGAAAATAATCCCTTCCCAGGCGGCCAGCTCTCAGGGTAGGAATGATGATTAGCTAAGTTATTCATGGCTACTGTTTCCTTTTGCCTTTGATGGGGATGAGCATGTAACTTAGCCCTAACAATGAAATGGAAGTGTAGGTGAGTCTGCTGGTTCTCCCCAGAAGAGTTTTCCTTCTCCAGAGAGTAAACATGCATTTGCCTTTATTCTCCTCTATTACTTTGATGCTGTCATGTGAAGGAGTGAAGGAGTGGCGCTTGGATGTCAGACAAACGTTGTAACTGAAGGCCACACAAAAAGAACAGCAGAGCAGAGGGATTCCAATGAACTTGCCAAACTTGGGCTAGCCTGCCTTTTGTCTTTAAGACATTCTTAGTTTTTAGTTACTTATTGCCAAAGGCATTCCTGACTATTCACCTTTCTCTAGGAGACTAAAAGGACTAGCCTCAGCACACCTCCCAGCCTTGGTTAAATGCTGCTTTTAGAATGTCCTCATCTGACCCATCTCTTCACACACTAACTTAACCTCTGTATCCTCTGAAATCCAACTTCTGTGAACTGCAAACTCCCTTGTATTCAAAACCTCTTCATCTCCTTGCAGCAACTGACACTTGGTAATCCCCAAAGTCTCTGTTTTTTTGTTTTTGTAGATTTTCAAGTAGAGGCTGGTTGTTTTTCTCTATGTAGGCATTTCACAGCACCTGTGGGGGTTGGTGTCTTTCTCTGTTTTCATTTCCTCTAGTTTTTGTTGTTGCTTCTAACAATTGCAGCTTTTTGAAACATAGTACATGGCCTCAGATATACCCACCCATTTCTAACCTTAGTTCCCATCTTCTATCAAATTCCAGGACACTCCTTCACATTCTTTGATGTCAGACACCACCCCCACCTTAATTCTTGTTTTTTCTATTGTTATTCTTGACCTCAACATATTTGATGATGTCCATCCAACAACACTCATGTCTATTATTTCTTAAACTGCTCAAATCTAACACTCTGTCCTCCATCCTACTCAGCTGTAATTGTGGGGAAAAGGAGAATCAATGGAACTTGAACAGAAGACATCTGTATAGACCCATCCCTCCTTTGAACTATACCACGATGCCCTTACAGTCAATAATTATGGAGAAATCAACTTCCACATCTCTGCATTCAATAATGGCTGACTCTGGTAATGATAACGGGTACAAGTTGCTTTTGTTATTGTCTGAAGGTCAAGATATTCTGGGGAGAACTATCATGGAAGAAAAATCAATAGCAGCCTTTAAAAATGTCAGCGTAAAATGCCATTCAAAACAAGTATAAAAGGTTAATGCCATTTTGTTTTTGAGTGTTTCAAAATATTTTATCAGATGAATAGAAGCTACAATGACATGTTCCCCATAAAAAGACAAAATAATTAGCCAAAGCTACTTAAGCATCTGGTGAAAATGTGAAAGAAATTCTGTTAAACCAGAATGTTTTTCATGTTGTGTGCTCAAAACACCCATGTACCCCAGGTGCAGTGGCTTCTTATCATGTATGTGAGCATTCAGTAAAATCACCAGGGTTGGCATTGAGCCCTTAGGTAACTGGAGGTCAGTAAGGGACAGAGTGTCTGGTAAGAAATTGGGTAAAGTGTTTTTATTTGGAGATAATGATGGAGTCATAAGTATTCTAAGGAATTAAATGAATACACAGAAGATGAGTTCAGATATGCCAGGGCATCCTGAGACAAAGGATTCACACTGATCTTGGATGGTGGTGTCTTTTTGGTAACCATGGTGAAGTCAGATGAGTTTAAACACTAAGTGTAGGAAATTGCTTAAGAATGAGTCAATAATGAATCTCCCCTCTTTGGTAAAATTGGGCTGAAATCCTTCAAAGTCAGACTTGGAAATATATGCTTGAAAACTTCAGTCATGTAAGTTTCAGCTAGAGTTGATTAAAGAAAAAACAATCCTCAGTCCCTTATTTCTAGAGGAAAAAAGATAAAGGTAACATAAAACATATAAAAGCCTATAAATCCAATAAGTCTCAAGAGCAACTGGGATTTCATAATAGCATTGAGTAACAAAATAACACTGATTTCTCATAACTATATCCAAAAATTTTTTTTCTGCTTAAAGATTAATAGGTGTAGATTTCATGAAGGAGTTCCTGATTAACTGTTTAATGTGAGCTGATTCTACTAAGGATAATAAACGTATTACCTCAGCATACTTCAGCAACTGATGAAGCATCAAAATCTTGCTTTGCTGGGGCTTGGGATGTGGCTCAAGCGGTAGCGCGCTCGCCTGCCATGCGTGCGGCCTGGGTTCGATCCTCAGCACCACATATAAAGATGTTATGTCCGCCAATAACTAAAAAATAAATATTAAAAATTCTCTCTCTCTCTCCTCTCTCTTAAAAAAAAAAATCTTGCTTTGAACTTTGTGGATCTCAGGAGAGAATTATTTCCTTTCTCTTTCCCCATCCAACCCCTTTTCTCACTGCTGTTCAGGGGACAGAAAAAACAGAAGTCATCTTGTATCTTGTAATATTCAAGATGGGTACTCCACAGAAGGAAAAGGACATCTCTTCTCTGTGGTGGCAACAATGGTTCTGCACTCTGGCATTTTCTCCCTCCCAATGTGAGGATCTCTATTGCTAACTGCACAGATATTGTTAAATGCTTATTAAGCATAAAAAATTGAAAATAGAATTTACATGGGGTTATGATGAAACTTCTATCATTTGATCCATGGGAAATGATTAGAATAAAATCTTACATTATCCACTTTTAGAGAAATAAAATGCACAAATCCAGATAATCTTCCATGATGATCAGTTTATTGGTTCCAGAAATAGCCTAATATACATGCAATCATTCTTTTGGGTAGTGAACAATGGATTTGGTCAAATTCCTTGGGCTTCTATATCCCTAAAGCAGCCTGATTCTGTCTCAGTCTCAGGCATGGGGCCAGGCTGGCCAAGAGTCATGCCATTAATATGAAGGATTTTTCCTTCAGTTTATTCTCACTTAGCCACTTTTGGGAAAGGTAAGCTGTTGAACTTCATGCATGAACTTGTGGAAAAAAATATATGTATATATATAATACTATTTAAGATAAAGGCAAAAGGTAAACATCAAGTGATATTTATACACAATTATGGGTATTTGTAATATTAGCTTTTTAAAACTGCATGCAGAATTAGATTACTTCTTTTTGTAGGGTAACACATATTCAAGTTGCAAGATACCTTTTCCATGGTTGGGGATAGTATAGTGCAGAGAGAATGCTTGTCTATTTGTATGTACACAGGTGTATGTGCGTGCACAAGATATAAAGAGAAGCACTAACAAACATGAGCAGCAAAATATGAAAGCAAATTATTCTGGGTATATGCCAGAGAAAAGTACACTCCCACTAAGAGAAATACTTCAGACTGAAGAAAAGAAAGCAAGCTCTCACAATCTTACATGATTAGGAAGAGAATATTATTTCCCATTTACTTCATTTCTCACAATAGGTTGCCATAAAAGGATTTCTTAAGAAACTGAGAAGTTGCAACTCGAGCATCAGAGTAATATTGTCTGAATTTCACGGAAAAGTTTCCCCAAATTCAGTTAAAATATTTTTTCTAAAAGAAAAAAAAACTCTTGCATGACCTGAAAATAACTGAAATGTTCTGATTTAAAGTTTCATAAAATTTAACCCTTCTCTATAATGTAGTTTAGTTTCTCTTCTGTCAGAACCTTTTTATCTGAACAGTTTTTCTACTTGGAGACACTGCCCTCTGCTGTATCAGGCACTTAACTGCAGAAGGATTTTTACTCAAAAGGATGGGGGTGGGGGCAATTACTCAAGTGCAAGACTTTATTTTGAATATACATATAATTCATTACATTTAATTTTCATGGTGAATAACTACGTATGGAAGTATACAAGGAAAAATAAACATTAGACATACCTAAGGATGAAAGTATACAGGCAAAGACATTATATCTATGAATAGGTTTAGAAGTATCATCAGACAGTATCCATTGGATAAGACTGAAAGCCATGCAAAACATTTATTCAAACCATGACAGGCAAGTGCAATCATTACAAGATATAGTTTTCTGTGTACAAAAACGACATGTTCTTTGGATTGAAGACAACATAAATGAGTGGTGTGGCTTTTATGCCCAAGACAAAAATCTATAAAAGTTAAAAAGTGTGGATATTGTTGTACCACATGTGATAATAAAAAGGCCACAGATGGAGATCTTCAGTTCAGTTTACAAAGAAAATATTGAGAGGTAGGGTAAATAAAATACAGGGAAATGCAATAAAGAAAATGCTATCCCTGCCGGAACAAGGAAAGAGCAAATGCACAGGCATTCAAATATCAGCTCCACGTATTGCACTGCATTTCTATTTTCTCTGTTAAAAGGAATTAACTGTGCATCAAATACACAGCCTTGACATTAGGGAAAATTTAATTTCCTTTTTATTTCACAGATGAAGGAAAGAAGGAGTAGAGAACTATGAATGCTCATCTTTCCATTCAAGACACTAACTTTTAAGGGTTTTTAATATACTGCATTTGGCACCAAGGGTATAGGGATTTGAAGGTTAATTATACCCAAGCGTTAGAAAGCTGAAGTTATTTACCATTTTAAAAATCAAAGCTTAAAGCAGGCTTTTAAAATTGAGGGAAAAAAAAAAGTTGATAAGGAAAAAACAATGCAGAAAGATGCTGAACAAAATCTTCTGGTTCTCTTTATAGTTTTGTTTCCCCTTTTATTATTATTTTTTTCCAAATTGCATTTTACAGTAGAAATGCAGATCACTTTGGATAGATATGGCTCAATATTGCTTGGTTCTCTCCTCCTAAGACATTAATTTCTTGCACTCTATCGAACAGAAAACCATCCCTTCTACGGGCATGAACTTCTGCCCAATGAGGCTCTTGCTGCAGCAGGAGCACAGAAAGCACTCTGTGGTTGCATGCCAGCTGAAGTTGTTGTAGGTCACCCGTTGCACTTCTGGATCGATGGCATTGTGGCATCCTTGACACACCTGCTCAGGAATAATACAAGAGAAGAGAGGAGAGTGAGAGATCAAACTGACAGTAACATTTTCATATTAGGACACACTAACACGTTTCTTCAGATGGTAAATTAAAACTGAGAATGACTACTTCAGAAATATACAACTCAGATTGAGTGACCTTCTAGTTAGCCTTTTAAACCAATAACCCTTAATGGGGATGTAAATGCTGAGCACTGTGAGGGATATAAGATGAAGGCCAAATGCATGACTGATGCTTCAAAGATGTCCCTATGGTGTTGAAGGTGGAAAGTCTTGACAAGTTCTAAAACAGTACATTTTGGCATATTCTATTAGACTGCACATTAGTAATTATAAAGAAGTTTATGAGATGATTTTTCCTTGTGCATTAAAGCTTTGAGGTGGTAATTTTACCAATCTTACTGATCACACAGAAGATTATTAACACCACTAATTTCTAGATAATGGTAAATTAAAATCATGTTCAAAGTAATTAAGGACTCAATTAAAAATACTGGCAGTGTTTGAGAATAATGAGTTTGCACTAAAAAATATAACTTGTAGTTAACTGGTTTCTGTTCTGTCATAAGATCAGTCATAATATGTGCAAATCTAATACTATATTAGAGTAACTATATTGTATTAATACTTATATCCCCTATATTATTCAATATTATGTTATACTCAAATATATAAGATGTACACATACACATACATGCATCATATTATTTTCTTAATTGAACATGTATGTGAAAAAAAACAAAAAACTAATCCACTGATATCTTTAAAGCACTAAACAGTCCATGTGGTTTGTTTACCTCTTTTCAATGAATGTGGAAATACAAAATCTTTGTTTCAAATATTTTACAAGAAGCCAATAAGACTTTCCAGTATGACAGTGACTAATCCTGGTCTCTTAAGGAACTACTGAGTGATGAGGGGTAGGAATGAGCGAATTGAGGAGGGTCATTTAGTGTGAACCTCCTTAGTTGAAAAGACTTTAAAATGTGGCTGCTGCTTAATGGATACACTGGTTTAGGCAGGGAAAGGAGACCTATTACACATTCATTGAAGACGTGCAATATATTTTCCAGATTTTTCAGGTTTACATTGCTTCTAATTCCAGAGATTAGAGTTCTGTAATCTACAAATTATATCAACTCAGTCTTCCCTGGAAAACAAGGGAGATCCTTTCTTTGGATGATGGATACACTATTCCTGAATACTACAGATCAACACTATAATTACAAGCACACTCCTAATTTGTAGCTCCACCATGTGAATAAGTGCTTTTGTGTATATTTAATTTTATAGGCTTATAATTCATTCAGAATGTGGTCTTACAGTTTCTTTATTTCATATTAATCATTCAATATTTTTAAACTTGTTCATACAAGTTTATTTCATACAATGTTTTAATTGCTTGCTACTTTTTCCTCAGTTGAGTAGTACTATTTGTGGACCTATTTATGATGAAGTAAAACACACATTTTCATTTTGCAGAAAAAAGATATAATCACTATTTAATTGCATATGGAATCAAGGAAATTATTTAGGTTAGAAAACAAATAAATACAGAAATGGTGTAAAGAATTTAGGGTTTGTGATTTTATAAATTTAGTTTTACTAATTTTATTTGATCACCATTCACACCAAAGTCTTAAGTATAATTCCAGATAAAATTTGTAGAACCCTACTTCTTCAAAACACTCAAATTCGCTAGACACCAAGGGCCTGGGTGCTGTATAAGCTTTCAGAGAAATGATGCACCCCACCACTTTCCTTCTGGCATTGAATTGGCTGTATTTTTTTTCTTTTTTCTTTTTTTTTATTGGTTGTTCAAAACATTACAAAGCTCTTGAAATATCATATTTCATACATTAGATTCAAGTGGGTTATGAACTCCCATTTTTACCCCAAATACAGATTGCAGAATCACATCGGTTACACATCCACATTTTTTACATAATGCTATACTAGTAACTGTTGTATTCTGCTACCTTTCCTATCCTCTACTATCCCCCCTCCCCTCCCCTCCCATCTTCTCTCTCTACCCCATCTACTGTAATTCATTTCTCTCCTTGTTTTTTTCCCATTCCCCTCACAACCTCTTATATCTAATTTTGTATAACAATGAGGGTCTCCTTCCATTTCCATGCAATTTTCCTTTTCTCTCCCTTTCCCTCCCACCTCATGAATTGGCTGTATTTTTAACCCTCTCATATTGTAGGGTTTTTATCTCCTTCAATCCCCCTTCTCTGGTTTTATGTCTGTATTTGCAGTGCAAATATCAGGAAAATTGAGAAAGTAAACCTTTTAAAAGAAATGATGCCTGTTATAAAATTAAATAATTTGAAAGTACTTTTGTTTTTAAAAAATTATATCTGTAGTGTTTTCCTTCCATTGGTTAGACACAATGTAATGGACAAGAGCTTGAAACAGCTGCCTAAAGAACTTTGCTCTGTTGAAACATTTATTCAGCTCTTATTTATTGAGCACCCACTATATTGTTCTTGTATTTGGAACAGAGCAGAAGAAGCTCTCAGAGAGTTTATGTTCTAGTCTTGAGAACAATGTTACACATCCTACCAAAAAAAAAAAAAAAAAAAACATATTATGATCTCTCCCACAGAGAAACAGTTGCAAGAATATTTGTAGATGTTTTAGCTAAGTAATATATTAAGCTCCATAGTGATTTAACCTCTTGTTGCCAGGTAAAAGGAAGGTCCATGGTGATCCCAAAGTAAATGAGAAACAAGAAAAGAAGTCAGTTACTCAAACAGTTCCCAAGTGTAGACACTGATAATGTGTAAATAAAAGAGCAAATTCTTGAGCTACTTACAGCCTAGTAGAGGAGACAGGGGAGCAATATTAACAACCACATATACCCTCCCCTCTAGAGGAACATGGAATCTTGCTAGAGAGAAAGGGGTGGTTGCTGGGAGCAGGCAGTCAGAAACTTTTCAGAAGTTTTTACTTCTGAAAAAAAGTAAATCCTCAACTGATTCTGGAGAAATGTGTAGGCGCAGTCAGGTAAAACAAGGAGCAGGAGGATGTACCAGACAAACTAGTAAGAGTGAGCAAAAGACAAAGAACAATGTATAAACTAAAGAAAGCAGATAATAATGTGGAAAGATGCAATCTAGGTTGTTATTGCTAGTAAAAAGTGACAGGATAGTCAGGAAAAGGCCAGATCTATTATACAAAATCTTAGTGATGACATTTGCATTTTAGGAAGATTGTTTCCCATAATTATGGAAGATGGCTTTGGAGCAAGATGAATAACAGAAGTTGGGGGCATATTTGAGAACACTATGATAATCAAAGTGACAAAAAACTAACGTCTAAAATGGAATAGCTGTACCCGCAATGAGCTAAGATACACACTGCTGAGGCAGAGTCCAGAGAAAATGAATGACTATCTGGGGCAGTGGGTTAAAATTGGCTGAAAATTGGCAGTGACATCAAAACTGCTATCTTTTTTTTAAAAAAAAAAAAAAAAAATAGCACCATACTCTTAAGAACTATATAAAGATGTAATTTTATTCCTTAGCCAGGAGTCTCCCATGCTTGATGGCTTACAGGAATATTTATTACATTCTCCTACATATAAACAAGTACAAGTCTATCCTTCTGGTACTCCTGGCCTAAATGCCCTACCATATATGGTCAAATTTTTACCTGTTATCTACGTTACCAATCTCTTGGCCATTACACAATAGCAGTTCTGTGGAAGCAGAGTAGATGCAAGAAAAATTATACTCCCACACTAACTGAATGTTTGGCCCACAGAAATCTAAATATGCAGGTCAAATTTTGCTATACTGAATCAATTCAATGAGGGTTAAAAACAAAAAGAAAACCAAACAAACAAAACAGGTACTGTACAACTTCCAGGTAGCAAAAACAAAAGTCCTAGTGGGTGGCCCAATAACACACGAGAAATCACACAAGTTTGGAGGCTAAAGTTATGAACAGTTGCCAGAAACATTATTTAAATGTAATCTAACCTGAACCTATGAGAATAAATCAATCTTATTCCATTAAGGATTTTATTTTTTCCATGATGGTTTTATTATCAAGCAGCACTTATAATCTACACTGTAAACACACAGGTAGAACAAACTATTTTGAGATGGTCTGTAGTCAGTGCATGTACTGTTTTTGAACTGCTTGGATTTTAACACCCTGTAATGGGAACCACATGGTTTCTATGTAAGAGAAGTGCTATCTGCCTGCCATTTGTGAAAAGTTTCAAGAGAGGCATCACTCAGGTTCTAAAGCAGGCTGAGGCAACCATATCCCTAAAAGGCTTCTCACCACAGCATGATTCTTCACATAGCAGGGCTTGCATACAGGCTTGTCATTGACCATTACATATATTTCCCCTGCTAGGATGTTGTCACAGTCAAAGCAGCAGAAGTGTTTCAGATGCCAGTTTTGGTTTTCGGCCTGGGTGTACTCATTGCTGAATATAAGCTGGGAAGAAGATTAAAAAATAAGATAAATCAAGCATTTTTCTTTGTGCTACAGATAACAAACAAAGCTAGGTTCTTTAAACAATAAGGCATTTAGATTTACAAGCAGATCAAATATTTTCTTGGGGCTTAAAGTTTGAAAATGATAACTTGAATTTGTGTTTACATAGTTCAAATCAATATTTTGTTTCTGAACAGTCTTTCATCAGTAAACACAATTAAGACAGACACCTAGAATGCATAAAGTCAAAAGTTTCTTTCATTAAACTTCTTTGAAGGTATGAAGCAATCAATATTTGGTTAATTTCTGCTGTCTTCTAGTAAAACAGCCATATAGGGGAAAGGAAGGAGCCTGCATGCAGGTTGCCCCATGAAACAAACCTCATCACAGCCAGCACATCGTGGTTTCTCGCTGTCACAGTAATGTCTGCCACAGTACAGTTTCCCATTCTTCCAGAAATAAATCATGTCAACCAGGAGTTCAGAGCAGGTACTGCAGACAAAACAAGCTGGGTGCCACAGTTTATCATAGCCAGCCCTTTCAGCATAGATGGCTGGGTCACCTTCCTTCATACTCAGTTTGCAGCAAAAGCAGGACTAAAAGGAAAGCATCAAAAACAATCTGGTCATCAATAGACATAGTTTCCTCATCAGTGCCAGCAAGAAAACAGAACAATAATTTCAAGAGAAATAATTTCTACTGAATTTATTAATTTGTCCCTTCAGATAAGGTATTAATATTTCTGTAAAATGGAATCTCTTAATTTAGGCTATTCAAAGCTCTGTCTTTTGTTTCCTGAATTGAAGTCACTTATGGCAAAAATCTAATAGTAATTTCCATCTCAATTTTACATGAATTCTCTCAAAAATGATTACATTAAGAGCTTATTAGTATTTTTTTTTCAGAACTGAAGCTTATTAGTTGTTGTGTTAACAGGATCTATGAAAAAGATGTTCCATTAAGTTTAGTTCTAAGGCTTTACTCATTTATGTCATAATTGTCTTCTACTTTTGAGTCATTAGACAAAGACTTCCTCTCTGGAAGCAACTTAAAATAAAAATACTGGCTGACATTGCCACATAAATTTAATAACGAGTTTTAGGCATGTTTTCACAGCAAAACTGAATTAATCTAAGCATGTATTATTCTTACTTATGAGAAGAGATAAGCAAATAACAATTTCACAGTTCTGTTTCAGCATGTTGTTTTCAAGCAGGATGCCAATGCCAACTACTGTGGGTACATAATATTCATGATATCCTTAACAACAGATAATCAGAAAACTTGGCTTTAGACACAAACAGAATGACTCTCTAAAATAAGTCTAACTCAAATTTTCATTTACCATTTACCTCTTCTTTTTGGAAAAAGAGGAAAGGCCCACCAAAAAAAGTTCTAAGAAAGGGAAAAGACCTATAAAATATACTAATCGGACCATCAATGTGACCATTTTACTTACGTATTGTTTTTTTTTGTGCTCTGCAGATTCATTCTCCATGGTGCCCACTGTTATTGGGGTATTTCTGTCCCCACCAGGAATGTACATTTTGTCAGGTCCTTGAGTGTCCATCTCATAGGGAAGTTTGACATCTCCTACACCCAGAGCCTCATTCTTGTATTTCTTCACAAACTGTTCCATCTCTTTCATCTCTTTGGGAGATAACTCATGGCACTTGGAAGGGTCCTGGTCATGTGCAGGGAGCTGCTTTGCCAGCTGCTTTTTCCGGTACTGTGCCCCCTCTGAGCCTGCCACTGGCTGCTTATCCTTAGGCAGCATCTGCATGTACTGTCTGGCCTGAATGACAGGGACCAGTGTTAACAGGGATAAGACTTGGTGACTAGGCAGTATAATCTTCTATAATACATATCAGAAACAAGTTAATTAAGAAACAGTGGGTTTTATATATGGGTAGCAGTTCATCCTCATACTACAAGTATCTTGAGATACTAACACATTAAAAATGGTATGGTAAATAAATGATTTAGTTGGGTAATAAATATATTTTTCTCCATGAAATTAATTTTTTTCAGTTTGTAAGAAAGATTTGGATTACTATTGTTTACTTGTGCTAAATATAATTGGGAAAAAACCACAAACTTTAGAAAAACTTGATCAGAATGGTTTAATGGTCAGCAACATTTTTATCATATAAAATGTGATCTTATCATGAGATCTACTTTAATGATATAAGTAACCTTTCTAAAAGACTTCCAAATGCTTCACCTAGTTGTCATTAATTGTGGAAGGAGCCTGACACAAATTCACAATTTTTGACCTTACATAGTGAAAGAAATAAAATGTTGAACATTTTTTGTTCAGTTCTAATGATGTAAGTAATTCCATTCTTTAGACATCCTTTATCATCTTGTGAGAAATCCTCTTAAGTTACTTGAATAGAGAAGTTACTAGATACAAAACATGTGATTTCATTAATTATTAGGATTGTTAGACCACTCTTTAAAGTGGTAAATATATTTAGGTAGTCAAAGAAATAGCACAAGGGATTTAGTCTTACTTTCAAAAAGATTCTAATAGGGGCCAGAAGTGAAAGTAATAGAAGCTACAGAGAATTAATAGATATGGGGGTAGGTGAGGTGAATTAGGTCAGTAAAGAAATTGTTCTAAATAAAAAGCCCAAGAACTTGGATAAAGGGACTCCTCATGCCCCTATTATTTACCAACGCTTGATTCTGGACAGGAGGAGCCCACTCATAGGTAACAGTATTGATGGAGACATTCTTCTTGGCAGCAACTGGATTGGTCAATATCATAACATTGCGTTTATACATGGGAATTCCATCTGATTTTAGCTTTGCAATCAGGGTGGTGTACTTGGTGTCTTCAAAAAGTTTTCCCACTTTTCGGTCCTCTTCATTGCTCAAGAGGACATCATGCTCTTCTTGGCCACACTTGCAATTACGGCATATTTTTCTATAATTTAAGAAACAAGTAGGAAGTGTTTAACTACAACAAGTCAATAATAATCAAGTATCCACATACATTTATAGTTCACAAAATACTTTTAAATACATGCAATATAATGGAATGTAAAGGCAAGTCCCTTTTTTTTGCAGGGGAGAGATGTGTATCCATAAATTTAAGCAAGAAGGAAACATGAAAAACCTATGATAGCTTTATAAACTTCAATAAGTGAGATTATGGCTAAAAAGTGCATGCTCAAGGAGGCAGGTCTGAGGGTAAACCCATCAGTGTACCCTTACCAAAATAAATAAATAAATAAACCAAACCAAAACTACCCAACAAAATATTTCATATATGTTAATATTTCAAAGTTGTTGTTGTTGTTTTTAAGTGAGAGGAAGGGAGATTGATAACTTTGTTTAGCAAAGACTATAATCCTACATTCAGGTTTATAGGGTTTCTCATTTCTTTTCCTGTCCAATTTCCAATTTCTTTTCCTTTCATTCCTTTCCTATCCTTTTTCCTTCCATATTTCTTTTTTCTTCTTCCTTTAAATTCCATAAGGGATACTAGTACACAGTGAAAAAAATGGGTCCAGTTTCTGCCCTCTAGAACTTGCTGGTGGGGAGACAGAAAATAAAAATCTCTTATACAAATACGCACACTCCTATAAGTGATATCTTTCCTATTTGTGAGAGGAAAGATAAATAAATGTTATCTTGAGAGAGTAATTTTGATTTGAAGTTGGTTAGAAATGGCCTCCTTAAGAAAGTGACATTTAGATATCAAGGATGTGTAAAAACATAGGTGTGAACTATGGATGTTGTGTTTATTTGGGAAGGCGAAAAATGAGAAAGAAAAGCCCTCACCCCCAACATTCTGGTAGAAAAGAGGAATATCTTCAGTGGTCCTCAATTAGAAAAAAAAACAAACCAAAAACAACAACAATGAACAAACAAAAAAATGACCCTTAAGTCCCATAACTAGAGAAGGCTGGTACAACTATAATGAATAAACTGGTAAGTAACAAGATTATAGAGAGGTAGGCAGGCATGAGATCATGGAGGGACTTGTAGGACACATCAAGGAATTTGCCCTTCGTTATAAGAGCAATTAGGGGACACTGAAGGGTTTTAAGTGATACAATAACACCAGATCTATAATTTTAAATAATGCAAAGCCTGGCGCATGGAAAATGGTCGAGCTAGAACACATCTGGAAGAATGGAGACCAGTTAACATGTTAATTGTGGATGCAGTTTGGAAATGCATGGTTCTTAGTAACAATGATACTGCAACTATTTTACGAATGGAATTTACAGTCAGATGGGCTAATGCTTTGGTCGCAGTAAGATGGGTTTTAACTTGAAGTAGGGTATTTGACAGCGGAAATGAAAAGAAACATATTTTAGATCTTCTTATATTTAACTCTTTAAACTCTGCATCTTGATTTGGATGTGGTGATAGTTTCTGAAAAAATAAGCACAGATTTTTGAGATAAGTTGGTAGAAGGAATATTTAGTTTATGAGAATAAAAAGAGGAAAAGATTTGTGGTAAGGGATGGGAAGGTTCAGGGGAAAGTCTTCAAAACTAAATTATTTATAAGTCTGAAATGCCTATGAGATGGTGAAGATATCAAGTAGATAATAGAAAATGTAAATCCAGGTGTCTAAAACAATCCTGGTAGAAAATGAAAATTTGGGCAGCAGAGAAAAATACATATGCATCTTAGTTTAACAGATCACCTGTAACCCATAGAGAAAGTACAGAAGGAAAAGTTATTCACAGGTATATTGACCGACTATAAACAAATGCAATGCATTAGCACTAAAAGTGTTTAACCCACTGTGTTGCAGACAAGATGCCTATACAAATCTTAAATTGAGCGAATATACCACTTGCAGTAACTTTGAAAATAAATACTATGTTTTAAAAGATCTTTTGAGAAAGTAATAGGTGAATGATTAGAGCACTTGAAAATATCTTTAAATTCACTGTGAAAATGGTATTAACTTTATTGGAAAAGTTACTTTTACTAAATGTTCAACTGAACAAATATTACATACATAACTGATATGTAATATAAGAAATAAATTCATGAAAGCATTTTCAAGAACAAGGTTCTCATTTTATCTTCAGGAATGCACTATATTTCAAATTATCACTATTCCAAGATAAAAACACTGGGACAATATATACTTCACAGTAATTTGCGTGCATTGCACTATTGCCTGATTTATGTTATATTTTGGAAAAAGTGCTCAAGAAGGCCCAACAAGGATCCTTCACCTGCGAGTAAGTGAAGTTCTACATATACTTGAAGTGGTAGAGAATCCTAACCACACTGTTTTTTCTAACACTCTATTTACTGGTTATGACTTGTTTGTATACATTCAAAATATTGGATTCCGTACTATAGGCATCATGAGGTTTAAAAATAGATTCAAGTACCCTCTAATGGAAAAAACAAGTAAGAAGGTCATAAGATTACAGATTTGGATACAAATTAAATTCTCATTGTAAAATGGTTAAATAATAGTCATTGTTGGGATGAACTTCGTGTAATCACTTGGCACAGTTCAACAATGGGAAAAAACACACTCACAGTAGAGTCAATATGTCTCAAGTAAAGGTGGTGGGTAGCTGTATAACAACTTTAATGGTAGTATGGATCAACATGACTGGTTGGTTTCCAAATATTTTACTTCTAATAGAGGTAAAAAATGGTATTGGTCTCTGTTTACTCAAGTAATTAATGTGTGTATTGCAAATGCACAGATTATTTATAAATTTGTGAACAAAGAGAAGAAAGATCTCATGAATTTGTTGGATTTCAAAAGAGACATCTGCTTAGCATCCCTAAAACAATGCAATTCAAGAAATCATCAGGAGGAAGAAAGTGTAACACTCCTGAATCTGCTGCTGTCCAAGATGATTTCAGATTAGACAAGAGAAACCATATTATTTTCAAATGTTAAAACAACAATGTCAAAATAAGCAATGTTGTGAAAAAACAACAATGTATTGTCAAAAATGTAATGTAACCCTGTTTGAAGGGTTTTGTTTGTATCAAAAATAATTCTTGAATAGGGCAAGAAAATCACTTCTTTGTATACTGTGCAACATGTGAAAGGATATCATATTACACGATGTCCTATTCTAGGATGGCTAATATATGTAAAATAACTACATTGTTCTAGTTTCCTAATTATTCTTGATGATCATAAAAAAATAGATAAGCCTCAAATTATGGTTTCGAACCTATTTTAATACATCTGTGTCAAGTTTGTTAAAATCTTAACAGAACCAAATATTTGGGACATAATGGGTTAACAGGTTTTCTGGATTTGAAATTCATATAAGTCATGGGATTTCTCTACATCAGAAACAGGAAAAATGAACAACTAAAAACTTAAATAAATCTTTTTGCCAAATAAGAAATTATCAAATAATCAGATTTTTTTATTTTCTTAGAACAAAAGGAGCTTCTTAGAACTCTTTTCAGTACAAAAACTGAAAATATTAGATCTGACTTGCAAATAGAGGAGAAGGGGGAAAGAAGGGGAGAAACAGAAGGAGAAGGAGAGATGGTGAGGTCGATGGGTAGATATGAACAGATGTGGGAGCATGGAGAGCCAAACTATTGTCCTTGTGCACACAATAATAGCCAGGAATCTTTACTTGGTAATAATTTGTTGAAGAATTATCATACTTAGTATAGCTATAAAACAGTCTTATATTTGGTTATCTCACACTCCCATCTAGTGGAAAGGAGCATATTATCCTACTACAGTATGGTCTTTATTTTTGTTCTTCAGTTTACAAAAAATATGGAATTACTTACAAAACTATCACATTGCTTTTGGATCAATTTAAAATTATGAGCTTTTGGAAAAGAGCTAGGAGTAGCAATTTAGTTCCCAATATATCTTTCTGTGGCATGCATGCTAATAATTAGCAAAGTGATAGCCACATCAAGGCTATGTGATGAATAATGGACTTAGGCGGGAGTCAGGTTTTAGAATTTTAAAAACAAACAGTAAAAAACACAGTCTCCTGGTTGCTAAAACATGAACTACGAAAAGCTATAGCATGGCTAAATAAATAGTATTTACTGTGAAAGTGCAAAATATAAAGGGATATATTAACCAATGACACAAGATCCATTGCTTCAACTGTTTTATTTATTTTGGCCATTCTTAGAAGGACATTCTGAAGAAGACTGTTTCCCTATTCACCCCTTTATTAACCCAACCTATCTTTATTAAGCAAATAAAACAGGTTAAAACAACAAGCCAACAGCAGCAGAGATGAGGAGCAAAAGAAACCACTAAAAAGTCATACCAGGCCCAATTATCAGTTTTCTAAGTAGGGAAAATCTGTAATAAATTTATTAACAATTTTAAATCTAGACTACAGTGTAGCCTCTTTTGTACCCTCAACTTCTACATGGTGAGCTGCGGAACCAGGGATGGTAGGAATCTGACTTGGGCCAGAAGGGTCCTTTCAGCCATCCCCACTGCAGCAGCTGGAATGATCACATCCTTCCATTGCCCTACACTGAAGTTCCAGTTCCACAATGAAAAGAGCCACCTACAAACCACTAAGTGGGAAAGAAACTTATAAACTCAGGACCAGGCACTATCTACTGTGGAAATCTGTTATTATCATTTATTTAGTTTAAAAAATTTCTATTTTTTTTCTTGTGTGGCTTTAGTCTCCAGTGTCTTGTATGTGGGGAAATGCAAGGTAGAACAGGGGATTCAGAAGTAAGTTATTTCAAAACAGCCCTTTTTTAATTTTCAAAAAGCTGTATAGATAGACGGGGAAGCTTTAAGGTGTTGGGGAGGAGATTCTTTATACTACAATTATTTGTAGAAAATGTTTAGTGCCTAATAAGCACACACGCTCAATAAGCCAAAACTCTATATTCAAAACTTTCTGTAACAACTTGAGAGTACTCGAGTTAAAACCGAGGGAGAGAGAACCAAACAAACTACCCAAAGTACTGCCCCAGAAAAATAGAGATTTACAGCTTGAAGCTACAAGAAGTCAAGCAGGTATCTGTTAGCCTCCAGAAAGAGATGGTTTTTTTTTTTTTTTTAGTACCACTATTCATAAAAATTATTATTTTTCCAGGCCAAATAGCAGAAACCAGAGTGCTCTGACTTGCTGCCAGCACTCATAGTGATTTAAACGCAAGGCCATGGCACTGTTACAAACCGTAATTTAAAAAGGCTGGAAGCTGCCCTTTTGTAACAGGGATATACATATATGGACTTGAGTGTGGACCTCTGTTATAGAATTCAACACAAGTATTAATCCATTTATGGTGGGGAATTTTTAGTTTTCAGCCATCTCTAAACCAATAAGAAATTCTGAACAGATGTTTGATGTGATCAAGTACTACTTTATTTTGTAAAACGCAACTGTTTAAATACAGGTAAAGCAAAACAATACTTCTATTACTTCTGATGACAAGTTATCTATGGTTGCCATTAAACCTTCAATATTAAATAACTGGGTAAATTCCTTGAAATTTTGAGTTTGTAAGAAATTTCATAAATAATTAATTCTAAATATTACTTGGAAGCATACCCAACAGAGAGCAGTTCTTATGGGTAGGGATTAGGCTTCCTCAACATTTTGTTTTCCTCTGTCCACTAATCACTTGTATGTTGAAGAAGGGGACAGCTTCAGTTAAAGGATCCCATTGTCCACAAGGATGTCTATGTTACAAAAACCCTTCAGAGAAGACAGCCTGGTGTAGTTCAAAGTTCAGTAGTCATGAAAGGGAAAGTGCATTCCAGTTTCTAATCTGCCACATGCAAAGTCCGTGATAGGAAGGTTTTGCAAAGCTTTGGATTCAAACTCAGCTCTGCCATCTATCAGCAATGGCTGTGGTGAGTTATTAGGAAGATTAGGTACAATCAGGTACATAAAGTGCTGTGGTAAGCAGAATTCTATGTGGTCTCTATGACCTTTGCCTCTGGCATCACTCCCATGTTTATGTGGTGAACTGGGGATTATCCAGGTGTGCCTAATCAAATCACTCAAATCCTGGAGAAAGCATATTTCTTTTCTGAGCTGGCAACAGCTGAGGAAGTCAAAGAGATTAGAGGTCTGTACCTCAGAGAAAGGATTCTAAGCACTGCTGGCTTTGAAGATGGAGGGAACTGTATGTCGAGGAATGTGAGTGATGTATAGATGCAAATTTGTACCTCAATCCCCCAAACACAAAGAATCAAATCCTACCAATAACAGGAATGAACTTGGAAGTAGGTTTTTCCTCAGAGCTTCAAGATAAAAGCCTAATCTGGCCAACAACATGATTTCAGCCTTTTGAGACCCAGGGCAGAGAATGCAGCTAAACATTCTCTTTATTCCTCAAAACTTCTAAATTAAAGAATATGTGGATGTTGAGTTAATACATGTTTTTATGTAGCAATAGAAAACTATTACAAGTGCTATAAAGGAAATGCTTGCAAATATTTCTTATTAATAACTCATGGGCAAAAACAAATCACTTCAGCTTCCTTGGGTTTTAAGTTCATAAATGAGTTTTGACTAGCAAATACCATTCTAAATTTTTACCAGTCTAAGAATTCATTTTCAGCCTTCTACAACTATGGTGACACACCCTGAACTGACCTCTTCCAAACTCCAATCTCCACCCTTGAGTACTCTAGGTGCCCTTATCAATGGGGTAAGAAGAGGCAGCAAGCAGAGATCAGAGTGATAAAAGAGTGAGCTCTGGGTATTTATCTCCTGGTTTCCTACAATGTGCTAGGAGGGAAAATGATCTCTAACTGGAAATATGTGAAAGCAAGAAAAGGAGGTGAAATAGACCTAACTGTGTCCTCTTCAGATTCATATGCTAAAGTCCAAAATGCCAATGTGACTATAATTGGAACTGGGGCTTTTAGGAGGTAATCAAGGTTCAATGAGGTCATATAGATAGGGTCCTAATCTAATTGAACTGGTGGCCTTATTCAAAAGGAAAATCTTTTCCTACCCTACACACACAGAGAGAGAGAAACACTATGTGAGCCACAGTGGGAAGATGGCTAGCTATACCCAGAAAGAGAACCCTCACCAGAACCCATGGTGTCACCTCATCTTGGACTTTCCAGTCTCCAGAATTGTGGAAAGACAAATTCAGGTTTAAGCCACCATTTTGTTATGGCAGCCCAAGCAGACTAATACACTGGGCAAGGAATACTCCTCAAGAGGTAGTCCTTGACCTGGGATTTTTTGGTTCCTGGTGGTTTGAGGAAGGTTCTGTCTAAGCAAAGAAAACATGCAGTAAGGCACAGTAATTGCAGGGAAGAGCATGCATGAAGTAGTTGAAGCACATAGTGCTTGGAAAGGAAGTGAGAAAGGCTGGAAAAGCAAGCAGAGGTGAGATGCTAAGGTCTGCCATCAGGGGCAAAGACTTTGCCTTAAGGATTAAGTCCAGTGGAAACTGAGGGTTCTTAAAGTATGAAGAAGTATATAATAGTACCCATTTCAATACACCTTCCTGGTGGTTATATGGAAGGTCAACTGATAAAGAGGTAGAGGCTAATTTAACTCTTATTTTGTAAATATGAAGCTCAGAGAATCCTGGAAATTAAGTATTACTACAAAGTTGGAGGTGGAGGCTACGTGGGCAGGGACTCCAGGTTCACTTCAACCATAGCAGTTCTGTGTCCCTTGACTAGAACTTCAGTCTTCATTATATTCTGGATGATTAGTATAGAATATTTTACTTCAACAACTGTACTGAAAAATGGCTGCATCTGGAGGTCAAAGGCATCATCCTTTGGTCTTCCAGTTATGGTGAAAAAGTCAGGGAATGATCAAGAATCCTAACAGCGAAACGTGCCTGGACTCATGCCAGGAAGATGATAGAACTACTAAGAGATACCATCTGCACAGACTACATCATTGCCAGTGAGGCTGAGACCAAGGACCAAGTGTTTTGTGGCTCTTAGAGTCCCAAACTATACCTAATTATTAAGTATGTGCGATAAAACTAAAATAAAAATGTAATATCCATGCCATAGAGATCTGCTCTTTACTGATATATTTTTTAAACTGAAAAATATCAGATTATAGTGATCTGCAATAGCAAAATAATATAGACCAAATGAAAATCACTATAAGCTAAACTTCTGCTAGAGAGAAAAGGCGATTATCTCTCAAGAATGAGCTTTAAAAATTTCATTAGCAGTTTCTAGCAATTGAGCTTAGAAAGATTATTTTAAGGTCATAAAGTAAAACTTATGCCCAGCAGAGGGCACTATACTCCTCTACAAAGTTAACCAGTAGACATAAGAGAAAGTGGTGTACAGAGTAAGAGTTAAAATACAGTCAGCCTTTTGTGTCCTATCCTAACTGTGGAGCCTGTATCCATGGATTCAACTAACAACAGATGGAAAATATTTGGGGAAAAAAAATTCATCTGTACAGAACATGTATAGACTTTTACAAACTGTCATACATCATAATTTCCGGGAAGACTGAGATTTCTGTTGCCTTCACTATTTAGAACAATTGTGTTCATTTCTTAAAAAAGACTTATTAGAAACTTTTAAAGAACCTAACATCCCAGATTGTATCCTGTTATATTCTCTTTTAACCTATACTGTACATACCTATAATGGCTGATGAAACTATTTATTCTCAAGATTTCTAAGGAAATTTGTATTACAGAAGTGGTTGTCAAAAAGATGTTAATTGTTACAAGACAGCCGACATTCTAATATTGTATAACTGATCTTTTTTTTTTTTTTTTTTTCCTTCTAGTAGGCTGATTCTAACCTAACTTTGAGCATACATGTGAACCACCATCATGGTCTTGACAGTTATTAAGAACATTTATATTCTTCATAAGAACATGTTTCAAATACTGGTTTAGATTTATATGATACACAAAACTACTTTAAAAAAAAACAAGACAAAATTTATTTCACATTCACATTTTTGATCCACTAAACCTTGTCTTTATTATACCAAGAGACTAGCAATAAAATGTTTATTTCTTAACAAAAAAAAATTGGAGTGATTGAAAAATAAATCTGCTGCTGAAAATTTTGAAGATATCAAAATTAAACTTTTTTTCTGACAACTAGTATATCACAATTCAGCATTCATATTTATCATTATTACAAAAAGAGATGAGATGTGAGAAGTTGGCAGCTGTTAAGAGTAATTATTAAATTAATAAACAGTCCTAGAGAAACAGTTCAAATTTTTTGCCATTCATAAAAAGCATATTCAGTATTTTAGAAAATCTGAAAGATAGTAAATAAACAATTTTAAGGAGAGTCATTATGGTTCAATTCACTTAATCAAACTTAATGAAATGAAGACATAACAGCTATATTTTTGATTGCCTTAGAAAATAACAGATCTGCATCTTAGCAACTGTGCCTGAAAACATGTAAGAGGCTCGCACTATCTGTGGAAGTTCTGCTTAAGAGTGTATGTTACTAATATTGTAGCTTCAAAACATTACCTCCAGAAGTGCAGTTCAAATCCTTCACATTTTTCTTTGCATTTTAAACAGGGAGCTCCAAATCCTTGCTCATGACCTAAGCCCATCTATTAAAGAAGAAAAACATGGAACTATTATTATGTTTCCAAAAATCTAAAGAATTCAATAAATTATACTTTTAATCCACTTACCATTTCTGCTGATATAACTTTCAAACAAATCTTGTATGAGTATCACTTTGTTTAGCCAATGATGACACCCAGGTATGTAAATGGCAACTCCAAGTACATACATAACATACTTTATATTCTATTGCTTTTTATCATGAAAAGAAAGGCATCAAAATAAAACTATGAAAAATCACAAATAATGAAAGTCACAAAAAAGTCATAAATTTATGTCTTTGGTCACTATATGGCCTGGACACAGTAAGTACTGGGAATACACAGAGAGCAGAACTTTGAAAGCAAGCTGGCCCCAAATGACACATTTGGCAGGAAATAAGGAATGTATGAAAGATATTCGGAATCATAACTAAAATAATGTTATTTTATATTGTGACAAATATAATAATAACAACAAATATTTATTTAATGACAGGAATATCTTGTTATTTATCTTATTAAAATATTGCAAAACTTCATGAAATGGAAATGAAGTAGGAAATATTTTTCTCCATTTTAGAAATGATGCAATTGAAGCCCCAAAAGGTTACAGAACTTGCTTAAGATCATCAAAGTGTCAACAAATGGCAAAAAGAGATTTGAGTTTGACTTCAAGGCCTGTGCTCTCACACCAGGGAGAAAGAAAGTGGTGGTGGAGGGGGGTAATACTGTTGCCTTTATTATAGCAAACCATTATTTTTTTCTGTGCTATATTAAACAATACCAAGAATTCTTGGTATCCTACTGACACATGCCTAATAAGCAAAGGGGTGGGGGTACAGATAGAGGAAGGGCACACATAATGGCAATGTAAGCACTTCTACTAAGCTATCTGGAGTGAAAAATATCAACTGGCTTTGCAGCATCAAATCGGCAAGTCACCAATGACCAGATTATCCCATATTTTAAATGTCACATCAATGATTGTGATAAATTAGTTACTAGCTTGTGACCTGCAGTGGTAATTCAAGTTCAATAAATACTAGATCTTTCTCAATGTACACCCCCCTCCCCATAATTTACCAGGTTGTGTTTATCACTATGCAACCTAAACCACATTGTAACTTGTTCCTTGGAAGATAAGCTGATGTGCCTGATGTGCACAAAATGACCATATCCCCTTACTATAACTATGGGAATATCCAAAACCAGTGGGGTCCACCAGCTGCTTAGGAAACCCATGTTATTTTTAAGTCACAAGCACAGTCTCTACAGAGACCATAAGATACTCAGAAGTATAAGAATCAGTCCAGTGTCCAGCATTAACTAAACCTAAGTACCTTTACCATGTCTACAAAACTACCAATTTTCAAAAGAATTAAAATTTTATGTTATATGTATACCTACTATCAGCCCTAAACCTTTTTTTTTTTTTTTAAACAAAATCAAACTGTTTCTTTGTTATCGATGACCACAGTTCATAATACCAAATACATGAGTTAAAACAGAGGGAAACTAGTTATTTGAGTTTTCTGGTCTTCTGTAAGGGAACACAATTAAGAATTTTCTCCATTAAAATATCTGTAACGAATGAAATGAAGAGCAAATCTAAAAGGGTATGTATTCTTTTTCAACCTGTTCTAGTTTTCTATTATAGGAGAGTTAATAATCCTGAATTCACCTGGAGTATGGATTTATTTCATACTGTGTTCTTTGCAGCTCCTGCTAAATTCTTAATCCCAAATGAAAATTAAGATTAATCACACAACCACATAACTTAGCTTAAATCAGTGGCTTTTAAATTCTCATATGAGATCCATAATAAGAAATACATTTTATCTCATGACAGGCTTACAGGAGTGCACACATGCACACACATGCACACACACAAAAAAAACACATTTATATATACAAAATACTATATATGTGGGTGTAAAATTCTGAGATTTACTGACTTATATAATATCTAGAGTTAAGCTTACTTTTTCTCTAAATAAAATCACCTAAACAAATTATTCCCCTGCTTTCAACCTGAGCCACCTGGTGGACTGGGTTTGTTCACATACACTGCACATGTACTGGAACAATATGTCTCCTCTATTTCTGAATACAACTTAAAAGTTCAGCTAATATAACTAGAACCTCCATTAGACAGCACAGCTTTTACAATAAGGTCTCAGTGTAACTCACTGCAATCTGAAGAAGTCAACCCTACAAAGGAGCAGGCTGTTTTTTTTTTTTTTTTTTCTTAGATTTTATCTTCTTATTATAGATACCAGTTTATGGTGACATTTCATGAATACCTGCTATTCTAAATGTCTTACACATTCTTATTCTGGATAGGTCGAGGCATCCCTCTCATGTGAAAAATCAGGAAACTAAAATCCAGAAAGAAGAGATGATTTGCTGCTGGTTACACAGCTAGTCAAAGGTAAACCTGACCTAAAATTCAATGTCTGGCTCTAAAAGTAGACAACTTTCTCAGAGCTTGATAATGGCGTGGCTTGAGTAAATTAGGGAAGTGGAGAAAGTTTTTGAACAAAAGATGCTTGAATTGAGATTGAAAGGATGATCAGCATCTAGCAGCCAAGAGAATACTGTACACTCGACAGCAAGGGAATATCTCATTCAAAGGTCATAGTGGAAGTCAACAAGAGGGAAGCACAACAGGTGTAAGGGCCAGCCTCTACTGCAGTCAGAAAGTTTTGTTTTGTTTTCCTTTTTCCAAGAAGAAAGTAAAACTCCTGATGCCTTCCGTATTATGTCTGGGGCTACCAGGTTTATCAGAGGAAAGACATCCCCAGAGATGGGAGAAGACTGATAGGGAGGAAGCCCTAGAGAACAACCATGCGATTCTGCAACTGGGGCACTCCCAAGCTCCACTGGCCTACCTTGGCCAGTGGCCCTCAGGGCAATGGGTAGGGAACCTGGGAAGCCCCGACCTGAAAAAGAGCAGTAATTTGAGAAAGTGGCTCAGAAAGCATTGCTAAAGGGTTCTTTCACTCAGCCCTGCTTGAGGGCCTACTTATTGTCCATACAGGCTCTTTACAGCAAGGTTTGTGAATGCCTAGAGAAAATGCAAATCCACACACTTTCATCCTCCCCATGTGCTCAGACACAAAGAGTGAGAAGACCTTGGAAATATCACAGATATCAAGAGAATAAAAAAAGAATGGAAAGAGGTCAGGGCAATATGATATTTTTCTCCTGGAAGTAATCTTGATTAAAAACAAATACAAGAACAAGAACACCTAGTTTTCAAAACCATTGTTGGTAGCTAAAGCAATTACAGAGTTTCAGACTAGTTAGAGACTTATTTTCCAAGGAAAATTTTAATCAGAGAAATTATTTTATAAGTGCATAGCTGCAAAGCTTAAACATCACTGACATCCAGTACTGAAGATCTCTAATTTTATGCCATATCAGGAGAAAACTTGGGTATGCAAATCCTCTTTATCAACCTGTTAGGATTAAAAATAAAAAGCACAATACCACTCCAGCAAAAAAGATTTGTGATTCCCACTCTACTATTTCCCTGTTCACTGAATATAAATGCTTCCAGACTGAATTATAATCTAGAATGCAGAGGCTAAATCCAATATAAATTACATTGCCCAGTAGCAGACACACTTGTATAGGATGAGGAAAAGTTCTGCTCTGCTCCCACCCCAACTGAGACAGTTGGACTTCTACTAGTATCCCCTAGCCAAATATGTATCAGATAAAGGAAAACAGACTAATTCTGTTCTGTAGTTTGAGAGTCAGAACTGCCCCAGGCAGCTTGTTAAGGCCCATTCCCAGACCTTTTGGAGCAGTATTAGAGAACCTGGGGTCCCCAAACTCTTCTCAGTTTCTTTTCAGTTCAAGGATGTGAAGCCCCATCTGTCCTAAGAGCTCCACCAATTTCTCTCCCTCTTTCACTTTGTGTTCAGGATTCCCTGAACCCAGGATCCAGAATTCTTCTATCTTCAGCACAGACTACATCATCTGGTTAGGGTCCTTCTTTCCTCAAGAGCAGTAGCTGTTATTCATGCACATCCACATCTTATAGATCAGTTTTTGCCCAGGTGTCTGTGTTGGAGAATTCATGGTGAGGAATAAGAACTGGGAAGGTGTTGCTTAAGATATCCCAGGTCCATACAAGGATATATGGGAGGGTGTGGAGAAAATGGTGAGCTGAGAAAGTGTTAGCTACTCTTTAGTCAAGGCAAGCTAGCTGTTTAGTAGATGAAGTATAGTTCCTCAGACTAGTGTAAACACCAAGATATTGTGCTTGTATACAATACTTATGTTGTCAGAATTAGCTATTCCAGGTATTAAGAAAATGATCAAAAATTACATGGTTAAAAATACTAGAGAATTAATATAACAGAGACCTTTGAAAATGTAGAAAAGTCAGGAAAACTTTGGTCTGGTCCCAGAATATCATGGGTGCCACGTTCAGTGATTTTGTAAGTCATTTTTCTTCTCTGGGTTTCATCTAAATAATGAAGGAATAAATTTGACTTTAAAAAAATTTTTAATTCTAAAATTCTGCCTGAAAACCATGTGTCAGATTAACTTTATCTTAGATTGTCATCCAGCCTGGTCAAAATTTAATCACTAGAGAATGATTATTTAAGAAAGCTAATATATTAGCAGCTCTTGTAAGTCAGAACCATTTGGAATTCAGTTTGGAGGAGCAGTCTGTAAAGTACACAAAGTAAACAAAGACTTAAGCTGAGAGGGATATAACTCAGTTCTGTTGTACATTACTATTCATCAGCAACTGTGATCCAGTATTCCCCACAGAACCAACAGTTGGTGCCTAAAAACACATGTTTTTCATAAGCACACAAGTACCAAAGCTGTCCACCTCATACAATTTTAGTAACACAATCTGGCCAGCATCAATACAAGGATATGACAGATTAATTTTTCTTCTTCAGTATGCAAGAAAACAGGTCCTTTGGATTGACTATATTTGGAGAAATCAGTTACCCTTTGTGAATACCTATCAAGGT